CAACGTTGAAGTCCTGTTTCAGGACAAGCAATCTCGAAAATGGGGAAAAACATTGGAAAATATGATGAACTTGGAAAACTGATCATTGTTGAAATTCGTGAATGAAGTTTTTGGTGATTATTTCAGTCGGGAGGATCGTGGCACATATTGGAAGATGAGAGATTTGCAAACATTCCATTCTATCATAATTGGGTTTTTAAATTTTTTCCATAAAATACTTTAATCAGATCAGTTCATCAACTTTTTTCTAGCCTCATGATTTTGAGTGCCTTCCGGCTGCAACTTCAATATTTCTATTTTGCATAAGGCAAAAGCACACAGCAAGCTGTCTCTATACTGTATAAATTGGGAACTTTTGGAATACGCCGGTATAATTTGTACACAGCTGGAAGCATACCTGTAACCGATGCGACTGTTTTTGCAATGAACCAATTAATTTGTTTTAGAGAAAATAGGCTTTTATTTTAGTTGCTTCTAAGTCAGCCAGAGGTTAGATTGTATTTTATTTCAGTTGTCGTCGGTGCATCTTAACCTAAGGGTATTATGTACGTGTATTTAAATAATGCAGAGTGCAAACACCAACGTCAGAAATCGGATCGCTATTGTTCTTTTTGTTATTAGTGTTAAAGATTGTCTTGAGGCCATTAGCAACTTACGAAATCGTTCTCAGTTTGCATATTTCTAATATTTATCTGTCTATTTTAGGTTAATAGGCAGCAGCGATGGCCGCAGTAGTAGACTCTTCGGTCTCCTGATCAGTTGCCGTGCGCTGTGCGGGTTCGAGTCCCGTCCCAGGAGAAATTTTTCTCTTGCTATGGATGTTGTGAAAAAACAATAATGTTGTGCATACACATTGTCGAAGCTTAATTTCACACTGTTGATTATGCTCGAGTTCGTTTTGTAATATTAGTATGAAAACTGAGAAACAAGGTTTCCGAAGAAAAGTAATAGGATAATATCCCTCTTTTTGCACAGTAAGTAGAGAGCCCCAGCTACAATCTATGATCTCGATAGTTCATGTCAAAATCTTCTTGCCGTTGTATTACATCCATTTCAATCAAATAAATCCCATTTAAGTATTCTACTTCACGATCAAATTGTTTGTTGCAAAACAGTTTAAGGCTGGAATATGTTAGTGACAAAAAATAAACGTAGTCACCTATATTCGACAATACCACAAGCATATTGATGTTGCAAAATATGCATAACAACGTTCATTATTATCCATGCTGCATTTTTGTTAAAACGTAAATATCTATAGAAGGGCTTGTTCAGTCGAAATCAATGTGGTTTGCCTTTATTTCTTCAAAAAACAGTCACTAAAAGAAAACAAATGAATAATAAGTTACAGAAAAAGACGAGCTTTTACTTAGATGTTGATAAAACGAATTAAAAATTTTAAATTTTTTTTTCTGCTTGGAAATATACTAAGTGACATATAAATCCGAACACTCAGTTTAAATGGTTTTATTTTAATAAAATTTTGTATAAGTACTTAATGAAGCATAATAAGTAAATGATAAAAATTTCAAAATGATTGCACTGCTTTAAAGCCCTTTGACCTTTAATAATGTGTGGATGCACCCTGATGTGCTACGCATCCTCCAACGCGCCTAGGCATGCTTCTGATCAGGTGGTCAATGTCCTCCTGTGGTATTTCATTCCAGGCAACCACCAACTCCTCTCGGAGTGCTTCTAGAGTCTGAGGAGGACGTTGCAAATTGAGCAATCTCCTACCCATCATAACCCACACGTGCTCAATTGGGGATAAGTCGGGAGATGTTGGTGGCCATGGTAACAATGTGAAAGAAGTCTATTGTGGCTCTTGCAACATGTGGTCGGGCATTATGTTGTTGGAAAGTTGGATCTGCCAGGGTGTCAAGATAGGGTAAAAGATGGGGTTCTAGAACTTCGTGGATACAACGCTGCGCGTTCATGTTACCTCTGATGAAGATTAAAGGTGACCTGGAACCATAAGCTATAGCACCCCAAACCATAACTCCAACAGTGTGATGAACATGTCTTTCAACAAAAAACTGTGGATTCCTCCTTTCACCACGTCGCCTTCTAACCGTGGCACGACCATCGTGCATGCCTAAACAAAATCGAGACTCGTCACTAAAGACAATACTGTTTCCATTCCTGATCCCAGAGTGACCGTTGTCTGCACCACTCAAGGCGATTACGTCGGTGTTCTCGAGTTAAAGGGAGGACCCAGTGTGGCCGGTATGAAAACAAGCCAAAACTTCTCATTCGTCGGTAAACACTTCGCATGCCAATAGGTCTTTCGTGTTCTGCAAACCATTCATTTGCAATGGACCTGGTAGTGGAGAAACGGTCCCTTAAGGCCAATAATCTTAGGCGGCGATCTTCACGGCCTGTTGTTCTACGGCGGCGTCCAGTGCCCCTTGCTCTTTGCGTACGGCCTTCTCGAAGCCATGCCTGACAACACCTAACCACAGTGTCTACACTCACTAAGTTGACGAAATCGTACAGGTCTCCGTACTCTAGGCATCGTAACCGATCGTAAAAGATGTCAAGAACCAAAATCCGCCAACGTTGATTCTTTACTGCGGCTGAAATATTCATTTTTAGAGCGTTAGTGAATTAAAAAAAATCAGTATAAAGACCGGAATGTCCAACTGATAAGGCTGAACATTTTTTCACTTGTTATTTACAGTAAGATAAATACATTCACCAACTTTTATTAAAATAAAACCATTTAAACTGGGTGTTCGGATTTATATGTCACTTAGTATATTTAAACCATAATGAAACTCCTTCAAATGAAAACATGTTACACTCTTTTGTACCTTGCTGTTAAAACGTAACACGCTTTTATTTGAAAAGCTGAGATGAAGGAACTTCAACCTGGTTTCGATATTTCCAATTAGAAAAAAGCACTTCTAAGTTTTTAGTTCGCTTAGAAACACGTAAATAAGAGCTTGTTTTTTAAAATGTATTTTTTTTGTTTAGGTTTTACTTTTTGGCAGTAGTCAAATAATTATTTTACCACGCATTTTTTTTCAACAACTTGACTGGAGAAGTACTAATACCTTTCGTCTGATTGTTTCATGGTGCGTATAGAGACTTTTTTGTCAAAAAATGCATTTTTGGGTGCATTTTTATGCATTCTTCCTTCAATCGTAACATGTTAACAAATACTACAGCTCTAAAATTGTATGTGAATTCCACTTTTATGCAAGAATGAAGCAGGTGGTTACATGTTTTCTTATCAGTTTCCGTCTTCAAAAAAATATTTGACTTTCTTGAAAGGTTAATTTGCTGAAAAATGACGTTTCAAGAATATCACAGATTTTTCGATAAGAAAAAGTGATCAGAATAAATGTAATCACCCGTTTCATTGTTCCAAAAAAGTGGAATATTCACATATAATTTCAGAGCTGTACAAATATTTGTTAATAAGTGTTAATTGAAGAAAAAAATACACAATAAAAAGCAACAAAATTTTGACAGCATGGTTTTTCAGTCATCTCTATACAAGCCATGAAATAATCAGATGAAAAGTATTTAGAATAGTGTTGCAAATAGGTAATTGAAAAAAAAAGTGAAAAACGGGGACGTGCGACCGTAATAATTTCTGCATAATTTTGTATATTTGATTAACAGGGCTCGATAAGACTTCTTTCTATATTATAAGATTTCGATAGATAAAACATATTAATGGTTATTTTGCAGCGACTGTCATCTGGAATTTAGTATGACTTTTCTTTGCCTATTCGTGAAGCGCTTTCATTTGATACCCATATTACAGCGGTCTACAGGAATGATAAATCGCCATTTTGCAGCATCCGCCATATTGGATTCAATCGTAAGACTGCTGTGGCCTCCATGCGACTTCGTCTGCGGTATTTTGCTCAGAATATCAGTATACCCGTAATCCTATCGTTATTCGAAAGCCCTGATCTCGTCACGGGTTCAAATCACTAACAATATCAGATATCAGAGATATTCAAAAATGACGATATCTGTGGTTAACATGAAAATACCTACAGCTTCTGGCTTCTGCCACCCCGGACCGAAATACTAGGAACCGCCACTGTCCGCCTGTCGACAGTCGGCACATGGACGTAAACAGGTAAAATACATCGACACGTTTGTATAAGTTATGACAGGCATAACAGGCGTATCTATAAAATAAATAAAGGCTGGCAGCAGTCTCCCAAAGCCAGTTTATGATCGACGGCCTGTAATAAGCTGATGCCGGTCCTTTTTATCTGGCTCCGGTTTAACAACATGCTATTTCGTCCTGGGCTCTCGTTTTTAGTTTCCATAGCCTAGTTGATGACAATTACCGAGAGATAAAGCTGCTACGAGCCAACGCTGCATCAAGTATGGTTTAGCCTGGTCTGCTAGATATTATCTGTATGGACCGCTTTGATTTTTGTAAATCTTCTGATTAGTTGATATCTGAATCAAGTCATGCTGAGATGCACTATAAAAAGATTCAGTCGTTAGTCGGTGATATTCAGCAACTGAGCTACTTCACGTACAGGCAGATGCAACTGAGCGAAGCCATTCTACTCCAGGTACTGACAAAAACAATACACGAAAAACATATACAAAATTCTGATATTCAAATTATAATCTCTAAGTTCGTTCAATGAAAATTAACGTTACTGCAGTTTGAAAGTGCAGAGGTGAGGCCGGTTGCTATTGGCACGCAAGTGATTCATTAGACATTTCTGAGTAGTTTGGCCGATCTTCACATTTATCAATAAAAGATTCTTGATGGCATATCATCATGATCTCCTTACCGAAAAATGTCACCCCTGCTCTACCGACAGTAATGACAACGTTGCTATGGCTAACCTCGCCACTCGTCCGCCACCCATCGGTCAGATACCGACACAGATACACCTTGCGTTGCATGGGACGCGTGCGTTGAAAATATTTCTCTATCATTCCAAACTTTAACCCTAGGTCAGTCGCGCGGGTGACAATCGTCACCCACTTTCATTTAATATGCCACTATTTAAATGTTTCAGCTCACTTCGCAACATCGCTCCGAGTATCTTTCATGTTATGATAGATGTCTGTGCCGTCAAATATTTAGTACGGCTTGTGCGTGTTTAGTGGAGATATCGCTGACCAAAGCTGAGTGGTTGACAAGTGTCCCCCGCCCGACCTTCTACGTTGTTAAATTATTCTTAAGGTGTTGTTGTACTGTGGCAAAGGTAATTCAATTTTTAATATTTTTTCTCCCTATGCTAAGGTATTTTTGCTTTAGGTATTTGGAAGTAGTAGCAAGGCCATGTCTGAACAGAAAAAAAAGAAAAGTAGAGACCAGTAATGATCCCAATGTATGGCTGAAGTGGTACCATGAACTAAGTGATGAAAGTGATCTGAGTGAAAGCTCTAAGGATCAAGATGAAAGTGACAAAGAGGAAGAAAATATACTGACAGAGAGTGAGCATAATACAGAATCGGAACAAGAGGTTGCGGAAAGTGAAGAAGTTGAAAGTGACGAAGACGTGCCTTTAGATTCTTCTAGTTTCTACATTGGGAAGGACAAAATAACGAAATGGAGAAAAGCGAATCCTCCAAGAAATGTGAAAACAAGGTCCCATAACATTATTATTCATTTACCAGGACCCAAAGGTAAAGCACGAGAAGTGAAAACAGAAGTAGCAGCTTTAGAACTCTTTTTAGACGACAATATTCTCAAAACAATTACAGCGTGCACTAATATTTATATAGAGAAAACACGTCAAGAATTTACAAGGGACAGAGATGCAAGGAGTACTGATGAGATAGAAATAAGGGCATTTATTGGATTGTTGTTCCTTATAGGCACCATGAGATGTTCTCGTAAAAATATTCATTTACTATGGGATAACTCCAAGGGAAATGGCATTGAATCATGTTATCTTACTATGAGTGAACAAAGGTTCCGTTTCCTTTTGAGATGTTTGAGATTTGACAACATCAATGACCGTAACATGCGTAAAGAACTTAATAAAATGGCAGCAATTAGGGAAGTGTTTGAACTATTCACCAATAATTTTGAGAAATATTTCTCACCGAGTGAATATCTAACTATAGACGAGCAATTGCTTGCGTTTAGAGGTCGTGCAGCTTTCCGCCCGTACATCCCCAATAAGCCAAGTAAATATGGCATTAAAACATTTGCTTTGGTTGATGCTAAAACAGCTTATACTATGAAACTGGAAACGTATGTTGGATTGCAACCTCCAGGTCCATATCAGCAAAGTAACAATGCCAAAGATATTGTGATGAGGATGCATCACGATAGTGCAATCAGTGAAGACACAGGAGAATATCAAAAGCCGGATATTATAACATTTTACAACAGTACCAAGATTGGAGTAGATTTAGTAGACCAAATATGCCAAAAAAATAATGTAGCAAGAAATACGAGACGTTGGCCTATGGTTGTATTTTATAATTTATTAAATGTTTCCGCTGTAAATGCTATGATAATTTATAAGCTCAACAAACCAATCGAGGGAAAATTACGCCGAACTGAATTGTTGCAAAGCTTAGCATGGGATATGTTGACACCACAAATAAAACGAAGAGCTTACATTTCACAAATTCCACGGAAACTTCGCCGCAGGTCAATGGTATTGCTGGGTTTGGAACCCTCAACTTCTGTAGTTGAACAAAGAGATCGAAGAGGAGCAAGAGGGCGCTGTTACTACTGCGGAAGAGCACGAGATAAAACAACTAGAAAACTTTGCGCGCAGTGTCAAAATTTTGCTTGCAATGACCACCTAAAAGAAATTTGTGTGCGATGTTATGAAAACAACGACTGAAGTAGTAATTCACAGTTATCTTATGTTTTAAATATATTTTGTTGTTAAAATCAACCTACATTTTATGTCAAGGCTTATAGAGAATATCTTGTTTCTTATTTAATAAATATTTTTGGAAAAATCTTGTATAGGTTGTTTTTTAGGATGGTTGACACTTGTCACCCACGCGACTAATAATGTTCGGATAAGAGACGCGACTAACCTAGGGTTAAGGACACATGTACTAGCAATTCTATGTTGTGTCAAATATGTCCAATGAGTACGTAGAATTACCGGGATTTGAAGCTTACGAATACATTAACGTCAAAAAATTGAGGGATATCCACCTTCACCCTCTAAAACCCCCAATCATCAAGTTTTAATCCCCACAAATGCTTGTGTTATTTACCCGTATTGCCGGTAGATCTGCCGCCACTTATTATACTCTCATCCGTTTTGGTATTTAAATATTTAACTACTTATAAGTAGACCTTTAGTATGTTTTAATAACGGTTCAGAACTTCACCGCGTTGATAGTGCTACCGCACACTCCTATAAAGTTCAGAAACGTTCAGAGATGATAGAAGACAACCAGCACTAGTAGAATATTCTCCAAGACAGAGGGATCAAAACATGAATACGCTTTAGAACGTGCTGGTAGAAAAGCACTTGCGAGAGCAAAACTCTATCAAAGGTGCAGCTCCCAAAATTACGATGCTCCAGTTGGCAGACCTCACGCAAACCCCGCAACTATTACTAGCAGTGACTTCACCCCCGTAAGAGCTTTGTGCCTCATAGTGGTGTTGGTTATCGTTACTTGCGAGTACTCGTTACTAATCATCGTTACTCTTCTACAAGTAATCGTTTATTGTATCCGTTACTTTGATTACTATGAGTAGTATGAGTATAACGATTTGGCAATGTGCGTCGTGTGATTAATGTCGAATTGAAACAAGTCGAATGGATCCAAATCTTGTAAGAAAATAGACGACCTTTAAATTTGCAAAATGTTATAAGCAAAGTTTATTCAAGACTATCGGGTTTAATGCAAACATTGTACCTTCAAACTGTATGCTTATCGAGATGAGTTATCATAGGATGGAGAAAATACTTTATATTTACTAGAAATACTTAAAAACATGTCTTTTAGTCAGAAAGATGATCTGTATATGGGCTTAAGGAAATTCGGAATGGCATGTGACTTTTCGAAGCATTTCATTTAAGCATAATATACCAGTATAAAAAATTCTACGTTGAGCTTGGTCTACACATACTATTGGTGGTCATACTGAATTATATTTTTTTTAGGAAAACAGTGCATGGAAACACGAGTCAAATTGACATAACTTTTATTATTGTGGGTTTCCTGAACGGTGGTGTTACCTTGTTGCCGCTCTTCGACTACTTATTTCTTTCCAGGTTCCCAAGATCACAACAATAAAAGCGAATTTGTGTCACGCTGTAAATAGGTAAACTTCAGATTTAAAAACAATTATCAAATTCTATGTCCGCCAATAAAAAAAATGAGTTTTCAGGTTTCCATCTGAATGTGGGATGTCTGGCAACCCTGGTGCATGAGCGGTAATGTTACAGTCTAACCAGCGTTACCACTCAACGATCAACGATTGTACAGGTACCGGGTAGGGATACGGAAAACAGAGTAACCAAAGTAATCATTTCGTGCTCGGATTGGTACTCGTTACTTCGGGTATCTATGAGTAACGGGTACTCGAGTTTCGTATGATTACTTTTTCAACACCACTAGTGCCTCAAGTCCCAGACCTCCAGAGGTACTAGATATGCCACTGACTCTAACAAGTAACTTGCAGGTGGACATAAACTACTAATATAAATCGACTAGACTAACACCGTGGTCGTCCGTTGTGTATTTGTTATTCTAGTCGGTACGTTTTGTATGCTACTGATTACCGGGAACCTTTTTAGTGTGAGTGTCGGTAGTGTCGGCGAAAGTTCAAAGCGGCTGGCGGAGCCGTCATCGTCACCAGCATCATGGGTGGCGGCGGACGCAGTCGACAGCCCAGCGTTAGCGCTTTGTCATGTCATGGCACGACAGGCTGCGATGTTGCCACGTTGCATACGCCGATTACCACACCTTAGGGTCGAAGATATCGTAGCGTTCTTGTTGCCCGTTTTTTGAGATGATCTCACATCACTTCAAGTAGTCTCTATCTAGATTTCTCGATTCTCGTTACTTTCGAGCATTGTTACTTATATTATTCCCGTTACTTTCGAGTATTTGTTACTAAAATTGTTATCGTTACTTTCGGGTATTTGTTGCTAATCGTACTTCTGAGTACATGCTTTAGAAAAACTCTTAACTCACTTGATTGGATGGTTAGAGGGAATTACCTGATGGTTATAAATGTTCTCCGAGTGTTTGGTTATAAATAACGAGCGTTAAAAATGAACCGGATATTCCAACCACCATCCATATTCTATAGATGAACGTGGTTAAAATTTTAAAAACTATCGTTAAAAGGAACAGGCATAGATAGCTCTTGTGTAAAAGGGCTGCTACCAGGGCCTGTCCTATACATAGGCAGTTGAAAGGGCCCCGAAAACGTCACTGCATGGGCTCTATCAGAGTGGAAACTTGTTTTATGAAAATCATCATGCTACTAGTACACCTACCTATGGTCCTCAGTTTTAAACAGAAACAAAATACTATAATCTCTGATTTAGTGGAGTAATCTATTTTGGCTATCTTTACACTTCAAAGCTCAAAATTATGATAGCCATTTGATTATTTACGACTGGGGGGTTAAAAATTAAACCATAACTGGCTACCTAAATTTTTAACAGTTATCCATATCCTGCATCCTGTTAATATAACAACGTTATTTTTGAGCCGCATTTTACGCGTAGTTATTCATATTTCCTGAAGTCATACATCTGTATGGTTAGATAAAATATCATCACGTAAATATATTGCTTGCCTGCTCGTAGAAATGAAAAGTCAGTGTCATTTATATGGAATCACACACAACAAACAGATGAATACTACTACTACTATGACTACGAACATTTTGTAATAGATAGGAGTTCGGCAATACCACTTGGATTTCCTTGTTTTCACTATGGCTAAACGCTATACAGGAACAGACGCACAGATATAACCTCTCTTTTATATATTCGTTGTGAGTTTCAACAGTTCCTTTGACCAGTTGTGGCTAAGAATATAACCACGTGTTTTTCTGCAGCACATAGGCGGTGGTTATTATTTAAACCATTGATTACGTACACCCACGTAAGCGATACCACAAAGACAAGCTTATAAAAAATGAGTCTATGACACTGATTTGACATTTCCGTGTGAAATTTGTCAAACAAACTAGTTATATATCCAGGTTATCACATTTTTAAACAAGAGCAGTGTTCGGTGTCAGGCAAAACATGACGAGCATTTATCTGGATTTAATGAGACAACTGTTCTGTTAAAATTTTAACTATAGTCAAGTACCAGAATTGATAACAGTAGCAGAAGTCATCGTGCGCCACTGCTTTAACGCTGTACCTTTTGATTACAGCGACGATTACCGACATTTCACAAAGAAGCGACGCATTTTCGAAGGCCTCCGCGTAATAGCAGTGGCGTACGATGAGTTTCGCTACTGTCATCAATTTTGGTATTTTACTATAGCTGTTTATAATTACCTTTAAACTCCCACGTTAAAAATAAAAAAACCCATACATTCAAGCTTTTCGAGTGAGCCTCAAAGAAAAATTTAAGAAATCAAACGATAAGATCTAAAGACTCCTGAACAATAAAATGAAGTATGACTATTATACAAAACATAACATTCCAAAAACTGGATCAAGGAACGTGGGATAAAGTTCAACTATACACCAACTTTTGCTTCATGAAACACCGACTCAGTCACGCATATATATGAAAGTTTTGAGTAAAAGCAATACAGACATCTGTAATGACTTACTGCGCACTTTGCGAAAACTGTGTAGCTGCGATATCATTCACGATTCAGATATATAACAAACACTTACCCAACAACAGCGCAGCTTTCCAGATATGTCTATTCTGGACACGTGATCTACAATAACAGAAACAAATAATTATGTTACGAAAAGAGAGTGTATCAAAATACTGGAGTTTTTAAAAAATAGTGATGTCAGTACTGGACAAAACTCGATAAATAAGAAATATTGTCAGCAAACAACGGTTACTTCTCATAAAACCATATTAAGAGGGAAGGTAACACCCGTCTGCAACTCAACAATATTGACCCAAATAATATAGATTTTTTTTGTCCCTTAAAAAATAGAAAGAGTAACAAGTTCGATATCAAAGAGGATAATCCATCTCAGACCTCGGAGTATAAAAGATTCAGTAGAAAACTGGTCATCGGAAAAGTTCATTGATGTGGATTTCTCCAGGATTCTCAAAGGCTAGTACTCCAAGCTTCTTGAAATGCAATTTCGTCAAAATTACTTTGAAGAAATAGCTAAATGCACATTTAGCAGTTCTAAGCAAGAAAATAAAAACTTCAGTAGATGCTTTTACCAAGCGTAAAGCATTTTTATATTTTGTTTCTATAAGATATATAAATTATTGGTTTTAGAAAATTCCTAGTTTAACTTATTCCCATTACAACTGCGTTGAAGGCATGTTAATTAAAAATACATAATAATCAGTTTTTCAAATAACTCATACTGTGGTTAACCGACCTTTGAACACAGATCTAATTCAACATAACATAGTAAAGAAATTTGTTCTACAAATATATTCATGGTTTTAGAGAGAAACCTAACGATGTAATATATTCTCTTGGTTTTGCGCAGATCCGGCAACATAGCCAGCTCCTCCGCCACCGGGGACGAATACGGTGGGCCTGCACATGCGCAGAGCTGTGAATTTCCCCACGAACGGCTCCGATTTTAACCTGGCCTCAAACCCGAGTCGACTGTCGAGCGAGAATTATCGTAACGCTACTTCGTGCAACCAATCTGAGTCTCCAGTGAAGTGTAAACGTAAATACAGAACAATGGTCGTGCTTGAAGGTGGTGGAATGTTATCAACTGCAGGGAATCAATATCTACAACCGGATTACCTGTCGCCGCTACCAACAACGGTAAGAGTCTTGATACTTATACATAATTTTACCTTTTTGTTGATGTGGGGTATATTTCTGTTGAATACTCAAACTGGCTATCGCAACGCATTTTTTATCTTTTGGCGAGCGTTTGAGACATCTACTCAAAACTTTTGACTTATATTTCTCATTCCAAGAAGGTTTTTAATTATCAATAAGGGGGAAATATGTATGCTGTTGTGCCTTCCTCGATTCCACTGATTTACTTTCGTTGCTCATTCAACCGAAGATCGCTAGAGATTATCATGCAAGTCTTCCGTGTTGCGACGGAAGCCGGTTTATTGCATCTACAATTTCCCTTTTTATCCGTTAAATTTGAAACGATAGTTGGGTCACTTCGGCATTCTTGTCACTTTTCCTAGGTTCGGTCATGGTTTCTGTCTGTAAAAACTTTGAATTACCGCCCTATGCAGGAAATTGGTGCAACTTACCCACTTTAGAACGTTTCAAATAGAAGCATAGCTGAGAACAATTTCTTTTGTTACAGCTCGACGCGAAGAAGAGCCCTCTGGCCCTACTAGCCCAAACATGCAGTCAGATCGGTGCTGATTCTCCATCGACAAAACCCATCATCTCATCTCTGGATAAACCGAAAAAATCACCTGCTGGTGACATTCGCGCTTCTCCAGCAACCAATAAAGAGAAGAGCAACGAGAAGCCTACCCAGCAACGTTTGACACCTCACCACGAGAGCAAGCTGGCCTTCAAACCTTACGAGAACAATGTTGTGAAGAAGCCTGAAGATAGTAGACCTTCTTCTAAGAGTAGTAGCAACGGTGAAGAAAAGAAGACTGAAAGCCCGGGAGCGGAGAGGAAGTCAGCTTCTCCAGCAGAAGGCGGTAGTGACAGTGAAAAATCTCAAGAGAAGTCTTTATCTCCGTCTGTTCGTGGCGCAAGTCCGATCATCAGATCTGGCTTGGAGATACTACAAGAACATTCCAAGGACGCTCTAAACAACTACAAGCTAGGCGCGCTCCCGTCGGGACTGAGTAGTGGTTTGAGTGGACACTTAAGTGCTCTATGTTGCCCGCCAGGGCTCGAATCCGGTAACCCTGCGTTCCGGCCTCCATTTCCGGGCGCTCCTCACTCTATGTTCGGTTATCCCGGAAGTCCCGGAGCTTATCTGAGTTACGCGCGCGTCAAAACTCCGTCGGGAGGTGAAGCGTTAGTGCCGGTGTGTAAAGACCCTTACTGCACGGGATGCCAGTTCAGCATGCAGAACCAGCAGTTGCTGATGAGCGGAGCTGCGGGTCCGTGTCCATCAGGATGTACGCAGTGTGACCACCAGAAGTATAACTTAGCAATGGCGATGTCGCTGGTGCCCGGACCGGTACCACCTTCATCCTTGGCGTATTCCCAACTTGGCCGTCCTTACATTTGCAATTGGATAGCGGGTGATACGTATTGCGGAAAGAGGTTCATGACATCAGAGGAGCTACTTCAACACCTCCGATCCCACACGAATGGTTCCGACCCTTCGGCTGCCTCAGCAGGTGCTCTGCTGAACCATTCGCTCTTCTTGAGGCCTGGGTACCCGAACCCCCCGTTGAGCCCCTTGTCAGCAGCGAGATACCACCCCTATGGAAAGCCGTCCTTGGCCAGCTCTCTATCAGCCTCACCTTACAGTGCTTTCAACCCGCCCTTTGGCCCTTATTATTCGGCGTACTCGATGTACGGGCAGCGTATTGGTGCAGCGGCAGTTCACCAATAGTGTGACACTTGCGACCAGTGAGACGCGAGATCTGTATAACTGTGATACTTGTAAATATTACCCGTGAAGTGAAACTGTAATTATTATAAAATTGAAGTGCAATCTCCGACGTGGGGGCAAACATGTTGTCCATTTTAAAATAAAACTAAATTTCTATGAAATGTTGAGTTTCGATGACGCTTTAATAAAATGTTTGTAGATGTAGTTTGTGTTTTATTGTTGAGAGTTACGAGTTTCGCTGTTTTTGGGAATGTGTGTTGACATTAAATGATCGAGTAAAACAGAATAATTCCAGGAAAAATTGATATAACGTCGCTTGTTTATGATATTACTTTTGCCAAATCTGAATTGTGAAGCTAATCCTGTGTCTCCATAGCTGAATGCGTTATTCTATTGGAGACTTATTTTTGGCGTTTTGACAAAAGTGTGATAGAGAACGACAATATAATTTTATTCACTAAATTTTCGCTGGTTACTTTTTTGTCTAGAGTAGCAATACATACTTAGTTGCAAAGAGGAAAAAAAACAACCTGAATCAATAGCAGAGGTAATATTTTTGTGCATTGATTGACAATTCTACTTCAGGAACAAGTGTGTTTGATAGATAGGTACTTCATGAGTTTTACTAAAATATATTTATAAATATAAAATGATCACTTGTTGGCTATCATCCTAGTAAAAAAACCTATTTTCAAATAAATATGTTTCTGAAACGTCAAAACATACCTGATTGAAAACGTCTCCAATTAAAGAATCATGTTTTGTAATTTATGTTCAATTTTAGGTTTCTGATCAAGTATTTCGTTGTCATGTATACTTTATCTGAAGTCACTTGAAATAGCATAAAAACCTTTGGTCGGCGCGTCCTTTGTAATTTCATGACGTATCATAGGCGTGCGGTCATTTATTTAGAACGATAATAATAATGTTTTTATATCACAATAAATGGATTTTACTATCTTCTTTTGATTTGGGATGAAAAATACTTATATTGGGAGTTTAATTTATGTTGACTGAAAGTTAAGAAATGGAAAAATTACAGAATTCCAACGTTTGACATAGGCAAATATTTACATAGCAGGTAGGTATATAAAATGGTATATAAAGACTTACATTATAGGTATTTATATATCATCCTCGCCTTCGGAGCTGTCGCTAGAGTTATCTTGTAGAGGAATTACAACGAGATTTACAGGAGGCAAAACACAATATTCATTTTCTTTTTCAATAATATGCCTAGAACACTGCTTCCATAGGTCTGTGGCAGCAATATGAGATACTGCATCTCTTATTGTGGTCAATAGCGATTCACTTAATTGAGGGGTCTGATTATGTTTTCTTACTTTTTTTTTAAAGCAGCCCAGACCAACTCAATCGGGTTAAAAATGCAGTAATAGGGAGGTAGACGTAATACTTCATGGCCATTTTGCTGAAGCAGATTGTCAACAACATACTCTTTTTCAAATTTTTGTCTTTTAATAAGATGCAATAATATGGCTTTGGTTGATTTTTGTGGTATTTCCATTCCCTTGTCCTTCATAAAATCAATAATGTCTTGTTTTTTTGTGCCTGTATTCGGAATTTTGTTTTTCTGTCGGGAATGGTATGGCGCATTGTCCATAATAATCACTGAATTTGGGGAAATGTTTGGTATTAACTGCTGCTCTATCCACTTTTCAAATAAGTCGGAGGTCATGTCCTCATGTTAGTCGGCACATGATTCTTTGATATTTTTGGCAGATAACAGCAAGGCATTAGGTATAAATCCATTTTCACTGCCAGCATGGAGAATAATGATTCGTTTTCCACGGTTGCATGGTGTATTTAAAATGCACTTGTTGCTGTCGTCAACCCAGCCGTACTGCACAACATCATGGGTATCATACCACGTTTCATCCAGGTAAATCAGATTTCTTTTCTGCTCTCTATAGATTTTAACTTTGTGCAAAAATTCTTGGCGCAATTCAACGATTCGAGACGACTCCATAATCACCATTCTTTTATCTAATTTTTTGTATTGAAAACCACACAGTTTTACAATACAGTGCAGTGAGTCTAAGCATTTGTAATTATAAAAATCTTCAGGATAATCTTCTAATTTATCCCGTATCATTTCCAACGTGGGCACCAAATTTTCTTTATAAAATCCGTATATTATACGACGAATATCTTCCTGAAAACCCACGTCTATTCTTTTTAATTTTTGCCCTATGCGCTTTCTGTGGAAGGAATGGTTGACTACATCTCCCCTTTTTATAACCCGATAAATGGTAGACCGACTGATTTTTGTCAGGATACAAATTCTGTTTAAAATTTGATTTTGCGAGGAATCTGGATACATATTTAGGATTACTCTTTGGGTCTGTTCCTCTAAATCTTTATGAAAGAATTCTGCCTGCACAGGTTCATCAACCATCTCCTCGTGGCTTGGAGCATTTTCCCAAGGTCTCCAAAGAGCCATATTTAGGACACACAAGAACAATCAACACAACAATTAAATCAACAAGTAAACTGAGTATTCAAAAGTCAAAAACACACAAACTAATAAAATCTATGAAAAAACACGGACAGACTAAAGAAAACACGTTTATTCACCGCTACACGGCACTGGCTAAACTGTTTCAATTTTCAGTAGCCACCTGCACTTGTTCGGAGCTCTGAAATACACGCTTTCTCATTGGCTATGTCCACGCATAGGCGTGCTTTACTCTACGTGGACCGATGAAACTGCCTTTGATCTTATACTTATATTTGCTGCGAAATTTGGCGATTTTTGCAGCAACAGAGCGTGTTAAATATAGATATATAAAACGCATCCGGTATTTCACAGTGTTTCAAGTGACTTCAGATAAAGTATAAGTGGCTGTGAAATTATGTAGATCTATTCATCGACTACTATCAGAACAACAATGGGTATTAAAGTATAATATCCAAGGCTTGTATAATCTAATTTTCTCTTAGCCCCCATTATACTCGTAGCTGACGAGGAAGGTCGACACTACGTAGGAGATTGAAATATTTTCTGAATGCTAGAATTTTTAAAAATACTTGTTTCATTTTGTAAAAGGGATACTCAATTTTTGTTATTCCGTTCGTTGGAGAGAAAAATGATATGAGTATTCTGAACATGGTTAAGCCCAATGTCTTAAATGTTTCATCCTATGAAAAGAAATTGAGCAAGAAAATATTGGACGGGTTTCGCTTTTGCCTCTGTTTGCAACGATCAAATATTTCGTTACAAATTTTGGATAAAAACAAATAGTAGTGTATACTTGTTGCATGTTATCGTTTCTGTTGCGGTGTCGTCTATAAATCACTGTTTTCTGCAGTATTTTATCGTTCCAAGTATAGAGAGCGTTCTGTTGGCGATATAAATTAGGATGGGGCGGGGGGTGAGCAAAGAAAGGGCTAGGTTTGATTTCTGAACAAAAATGGAAAGATATCAAAAATCTGATTTCATGGTAACATTTATTTTCAAATTATTTCAATATAAACAGGGTGTTCCATAACCTCATAGCAAACATGCATTTCTTATAGCATACCCAGTTTATTGTATATTTGGATAGAGCTTCTAAAAACAGGAAGTTTGATATCATATAACATATGGTTCCAATCCTTAATTGTTTAGATACTTACTGAAGTGTCTGAAGAAATGCACAGCTTTGACGGCTCACAGCTCCGCCATTTTTGAAGATTCTTAGATAAGTTTCATTGTACGAAAGTCCTATTATCATTGATTAGGCCGATCTGAATGAAATGCTAAAAGATTTTTCTATTTATACATGGTATCTAAAAACGCAGAATGTAACTGCTCTCATAAATTTCAAATGAAAAAACTTGTATTTTTCTACATCATTAAGTAACTTTTCTTGGGAACCTTTTTTAATATACGGCTTGTACCACGTTTTCGGTTAACGCTATAACTTACAGGGTGGACTGTGACATATTACCCCAGGTGTAGGAAGATTTTACCCTGAGTTGTGATTAGTAATCGAATCTCGTTAAAATTTACACCGTCTATTAAAAAATTCGAATACCTTCGATAAAATGAATAAAACATATACGTATACAAGTTGGCAAACTTTATAGTCACTTTCCTAACAAACCTCCCTTTGTCAACATCGTCCAATGCGTTACTTATTGTGAATACACCGGTTTTTTTTGTTCTGTTTGTGTTTGGATCTGAAGGGTATTGTTGATTGCTGTAAAAAATAAAATGGACAATATTTTGATATACTTGCATGCTATACAAAATTTGTGAGCACCCCATATAATAAGGGCTCAACGCTGACAATGTTTTAGAAGCCTGATTTTCGATCTAATTTGAATTGTTTTTGAGAAAAGCAGTTTTGTTTCAGTAATAGCTGTATCGATTTTAGTATCGGATAACGTATAGTGATTCCGCCATTTTGAAAATACTGTAATTCTAAAAATTCGTTATCGGGGATACAAAAAACCAAAGATATAATTTTTCAGATTATGCAGTCAACTTTTGGAGTTTTGTCAAACTTTTTAAGGATCGACTGCCACGACTATTATAGAGGGTGTATCAGCAATATTTCATTAGCAGCTGGTCACTGCCTTCTCAAAGTTTCGTCAAATTACGCAATATTGTTCAAAAGTAAATAAAAAAACAGATCTAGTGGCAGGCGAGAATACCGTCGGGTAAGGTCCTTCGCTCCTACGTGGTGAAAGTCTCCCACCCCCCGCCATTTTGCATTTGTTGACAGTGTTTTCAAAAAATAGAAGAGATCATAAAGATTTGATGTATCAGTGCTGAATAGTGATAACCAACCAACTAGCAAAGTAGTGGTATAAGCTTTTGGTAAAACAACCGTTCAGTCATAAAAGCTCTCTATTGTTGCCTGAACATCAAAATGCTGGCTTAATGTTGTGTAGAATGCAAATTTGCTTTCTGCAACATATTTGCTCTAAAGTCAGCTGTTTAAAATATTCTTATAGTATAGTTATACAACACCTTATAGGGCAAATTTTTAACTGTTGCATAAACGTTTATACAACTATTTTATACGGCATATTTGCACGTTAGTCAAAATGGTTGTGTTGTGACATCCATGGTAACGTTTATATAACAAACTCGAGCCTTGTTGTTTTGCTGTGCAATTTACTACTTTAGCCAACAAATTGCTCTCAATGGAAGCACTTATACAACTGTTACATATGCTAAATATGTTGGTGAACAACTTCACCATAACCTAACCTAACTTTCTGCTGTCATATTTTTGTTAAAATGCCATAACCAATGTTTTAAGACAAACAACGCATGCATATCGGTTCAAAAGATTTATCAACTGTTCAAACAGAAGATATAGATCTGGTACAAATTCTGGGTAAATCATTCGACTCTGTCGGTATTTCATTTCAGACACTTGTCAAATTGTTGTATAACCCCTGCAAGCAACACCAAAATATTCTAATAACCTAAAGACAACATGGACAATGCCATGATTGTACACAACCACCCGCCATATTGGGCAAACATTTATTCCTTTATTTAATATTAAATAATTATGTTTCAGTTCGAAATTACAGATATAAAGTGATAAACATTAGTGTAATTGAGTCTAAATATAGGATTTGTGGAAGATTTAACTCAGATAAGTTCAGTTTTCCATCTTAAAAATCTAGACATACTTTTGATCATTGTCAAAATATGAATCAAATACGAAGCCCGTAGAAATTGGGTAACTAATTTGCACGATAATCACAATAAAATTTTTTGCGCCATTAATTCAATAGCCCTAGATCAAAGTGTAGAACTCTAACATATACCTGTGTATGAAATTCACAATGGCCGATATGTAAGTAAACAAGATGACAGGCACAGCAAAGCAACAAGGCTCGGGTTTGTTTTATAAACGTTAGCATGGGTGCCACAACACAACCATTTTGAC